TATGAAGAACCAAGGACAGCTGCTCCCTAAATCTTTAGGTGTTTATATGGTAGGAATGGGTGGGTTGGGTAGGGCATGCTATATGCGAAACTGTACAACAGAAAAGAATGTCCTGGAGCTTCACGGATTAAGAAGGATATGTACACAGGGATACTGTGCAAAGATAAATGGGCACAGGGTGTACTTGATGATGGGAACTTGGGTAAAGTATATGGTTATTCTACGGAAACAAACTGATTTTTATTTCCAAGTAGAATTGTGTTATAGCTAACTATATGGCCCAAAGTTTTTTGCAAAACTTATTCTTGGGTTCCATCCCTCTGTGTCACAAGTCAGGTGACTTATTCTTTGACATATTCCATTTTTTCAAGATAGGGGAAAGATCATATAGATCCTTGAAGGACAGATTCCCATCAGCCACTGGAGAAGGCAGAGGCAAAAGTAAGAACTGACCATTGGAGAGTAATTTACTAAAGGGATTTGTCCCTCTTGCCAGATAACTCTTCTTGGGAAGCCTCATTCCCAGAAGCAGCCCCACTTCCACCCACTCACACCTGTTCACAGGGAGGAAGAGAAAGACACCCATTTGTCTCTCCCCAGTCTCACATTTTACTAAAGATCCTGTTCTCAGGGAACGATTTATAGAAGTTACTCTCTACTTTCCCCAACAGAGAAAAATAACTGTTCTTTAAACAGTACTACCATGGAGTAAAGTTATTTGTGGCATTGCTAATTATATCTTAAATCTTTCCTAGAAAAGACTGTGTCTTCACCATTGACCCATCAACCGCCCGAGACCTGGATGATGCCCTCTCCTGCAAGCCACTTACTGATGGTAGGATGGAAATTTCTATGCCTTTCTGGGTAGCAGGCAGTCTGCATACCTGTTGGTTTGCCTGGCTGCCTTGTGCTCTCTAGGGAGCATAATGTGTGAGGTTGGGTTTGCTTTGTGCCTGAACTTGCCATAGGCCTCTGAGCCAACACAGTTGTATGATCTTAAGGTTGTGTTCCTGTGGTGACTTTGGTGAGGGTGAGAATGAGAAATGTCCTCTCACCTGGACTCTTCTTGGACCTCAGAAAAGGCAGCAGTGAGGGCAGAGGAACCATTAGGTTATTAAGTATGAAATGTCTGATTTCCTTAAGTTTGACAGTTGATATCTCTGACATTTCACTTTGACACATCTTGTTTTATTTTCATTGTAAAAGTACATCATTAGTCTTGCAAGCGCACATTTTGGCTTTTGATTATCTTTCAAATTGTTTTTTAGAGCAATTTTTGTGAAACCAAATGGATGTGTAAAAAATTCATGTTATTTTCGAACATGAGTTCTGTCGTGGAACCAATGGAGCATAGACAGCTCGAAATATCAACAAAGTGTTTGTTTGGGAAGGATGTGGCTAATGAATGCATAATACATGGAAGGTTTGAAAAGTTCTGTTCTGGTGATTGTAATCTTGAGAAAATGAACCACATGGGCGACCTGAGACCAAGGTGGATAATGATGAGCTGAAAGCTGTGGTATTAATAGAAGTGAATCCATCTCAGCCTACGCATGAATTAGCAGCAAGATTTGATGTTAGTATTCCAACAATATTGGACCATTTGAAACAAATCAGCAAGGTAAAGAAGCTAAATAGATGTGTTCCACATGAATTAAATGAGCGTCAGCAGAGAAATTGTCTTGAAGCTTGCCTTTCTTTGCTGTCACGACATATAGGCAAACCGTTTCTACACTGTATCGTTACGTGTAATGAAAAATGGATTCTTTTAGAGAATCACAAGTGTTTGGCACAATGGTTGGATGAAGATGAAGTGCTGAAACACAGTCCAAAACCGATATTCATCAAAAAAAGCTAATGGTGTCTGTTTGGTGGTCCAGAGCTGGTATTATCCACTACAGTGTCATGAAACCTGGTTATTCAATTACAGTAGATGTCTACTGCAACCAATTGGATGAAATGATGAGGATGCTTGTGATTAAGCAGCCAAGATTGGTCGATAGAGACAGGCCAATCCTCTTGCAAGACAACGCTGGACCACATGTCTCACAAACAATGCTGCTCAAACTGTGGAAGCTGGATTTGGAAATTCTCTGTTTTCCGCTGTATTCATCAGACCCTACACCAACTGACTACCACTTCTTCCACGCTTTGGACCACTTCTGGCAAGGAACAATGCTCAGTCCTCAACGAGCTGTGGAAAACACCTTTCATGATTTCATCGCCACTCACCCTCCAGGCTTCTTTGCTGCTGGCATAAACAAGCTACCGTTAAGGTGATAAAACTGTGTCAATAACTTAGGTGCATACTTTGATTAATTGTACTGATTCTTGTTCGAGATATAATAAACTACACTTTTGATTTGAAATTGGACATTTCATATTTAATGACTTACAATTCCAGGCCTTAGCCCTTCAGTTAGTTCTAGTTTGGGTATAAGGTATTATAGAAAGAAAATCCCTAAGGGCTCTGCTTAGAGGAGACATAGAGTTCTTTACCTGAATTTGACACCAGATCAGGTAACTGAAGGGGTACTCATCAAAGGCATGCCCCACAGTGGATAGCAGGAACACCTTCCCAGAGAAACACCTCTCCAGGCCTGAGCTGAAGAAGCCTGAGCTACTCCCAGTAGATCTTCATCTGTCTAGCAAATTGCAAAAGGTAGATGGATGGGGGCTCTTTAAACATTCTTTTGTGGGATGTTGCTAAGCAGGAAAAAGTAGGATAGAGGCCAGTGGTCTTTGGAAATTATAGTAGGAAGAAGGGAAAGTAGCAGTTGACACTTGAAGCAAAAGTGTATAGGATGTGGGAAGAGTAAGCCCTGCCAGCCTCCTTCCTGATGCCCTGAGACATGCTGCTTATGGTCTTCAGCCACTTCTCGCCCCTCTGTAGGGTGGTATCTGGGGAACTGCTTTGGCTCTGGTCACTTTCAAAGACGGCGTGGGTACTAACATGGCCTTTGATGGTGTGCCCATGATAGGTGTCCACCCTTGCAATGTCAGTCTGACACATAGTCTTTTAAAACAATGCAGAAATGTTCACATGTCCCACTGACATAAAACTCCGTTGGTTCAGTGGATAATCTCTTCTCTGCTATAGTAGACAGTGAAGCTTAGTAGATAGAAGGCTGAGCGACAGAAGACATTGCCTGAAAGTATTTTTATTTTCTTTTAGTGGGAGCCTTCCTTGAAACTATGGGCAAGATTGCTCATTATTTTCAACTAAAGAAAATTGAAAGGAAGATAAAGCATAAAGAGAGAAAAGGTCCCATGGAAATTTTAGAGAAATTATATATTTTTAAAATCCAAAATTGAAGCAGTCTATTTAAAAAATAGGTTGGTTTGGTTTCTGGCTTGGTTTCTTACTTTCTGAGCAATCTCTGCTGAGGCTTGGGCATACCTGTTCTCTGTGTAGACTCCACTTCCCTGAGCCCTAGTGTAAAAAGTGCCCCCAGGCTGATAGGCAGGTGACTGTGGGCCTCACTTCTCATATTTCCCTTGCCTCCAGGTTCACAGCTCTGCTGTTAGGCATCTAATACTTTGAAACAGTTGCTTCATTTATTTTGTCCAGTTTTATAGTTGTGAATGGCAGAAGGATAAGTCCTAGTACCTGTTCCTCTGTCTCGGCTAGTCTGTCACCTTGCAGGGACTCTAGGGAGCAGACACATGTAGCAGTCAGTCACTGTGAACACTGGGGTCTCATGTTCAGGGTACAAGTGTGCCAGCAGAGGTTTCATAGAAGAAATGGTTAAAGATAGGACAGGAAAGATAGACTGGGGACAAATTTTTAAACCAAATAATATTCTTTATTTGTTAGACAATGAAAAGCCAAATAGATACTGTTCAGCGGAAGAATATTCAGAATGAGGAAAATAACATAGCAGTGCGAGGTGGAGGAAAAGGAGAGTAAGCAGAGGCAGGGAAACAAGTCAGAGAAACATTGCAATAGTTTAGGGATAAGGACCTGGACTGGAAGTGGTGGCATAGCAGTGGGGGTGGGGTGGGAAGGACAATGTGAGAAAGGGATGGTGACAGAAGAATCTATGGAAATGGATGTTAGGGTGGAGGGAGAGGAGTCCAAGATGGTGTCAGGATTTCAGCTTGGATGGCAGGAGATGGAACCCACAAGTTAAGAATGGGGAGGTCAGGAGGCCAAGCTGGTTTGGGAGAAAGTATTTCATCGTGGAATTGTCTGTCTAATGATATGTATTTATGTAAGTTGCTATAAGTCCTTTTTAGAGGAGGTGGTGTATAAATAAGTTAAATAGATGCAGTTCATGTGACTATATGCAAAGACATCCCTGAAGAAGAATAAGCAGTGCACTAAAATGCAAACGGTGATTTTGTTAGGATGATGGGATCATAAATGATTTTTCTCTTTTCTCTAGTTGCCAAATTTTTATAATGTAATAATAGTTTTAAAATGAAAACAATTTTGTAATAAAGGAAAGTTACGGGGTGCCAGAAATCATGAGCTGCCTAGTAGCCTGCTGCACCAGGTGATCAGACACCTTCCATCTGTTTGGTTTTTCTTGCATTCCAGAGGAGCAGCTTGGCAGAGCAGCAGAAAAACGACATGGAAAAGGACTCAGGGAAGACTCTGAAAAGGCCTGAGTTGGTCAGTCAAGTGTTTTTATGGTGGCACTTCTACAGTTGTCCTTTGTGACAGCAGTTTCTGCCAGGGCCATTTATCTATGGAGATGAAAAGGGAAAGTCAATTCCAGTTTGGGTTGGGGTGAGGTTGGCTAAGTTCAGGTTCAGTTAGTTACCAATTCATGTCAATTCTTGCTTAGAAGAAAAATGTTTAATGTTTCAAAAAGCAAATAATGTTTTGGGGGCAGATTTATATCATCTATAGCCATTTCTATTTAAAGAAAATATTAATATAAAAGTTAAACTTTCCTTTGGTCATGTCAAAATCATCTGAGTGACTATTCTATGAAAAGTAAAATACACAAACAGATATATCTAGTCCTCACTTTCCCTTTTTATAGAGTTCAGATGCACTCCCAGGACTTGTTACCAATATCTTCTATCATGTGAGAGGTTCAGATGATCATACAAAACACAGTGAACACGTGTTCACTAGTAGATCATAATTGAGTTGAAGGTTGAGATTAGGGGGTGGTACCACTTACCCTTGTGGAATCTCAGCTTTGGAAGGGATTCTACCAGTCTTCTAACCTGGTAATCCTCCACCTTTTTTAGCCTGTTAACAGTCTTAAGGAGAACATTCCCATGAGCGTTACCCAGCAACGTGGAGTTTTCTACCTTTGCTGGAGAAAGTATTTAATTATTCAAGTGAGTAAGAGTGGCGTTATAGTGATGACCCAGAATCTAAAGACAATAAATCACACACTTCAGTGTTTTATTATTGTTAACAGATCACTTGCGACACACCTCACAGTTGACCTCCCCACTCAAGTGTGGCAATGCCACAGTTGCCAGCTCACCCTCTGTTTTTTGAATTACCTCTACGGTATCCACTTACTGACTATCCAGATTGCATTTGAACATTCTGCCTTGAAGGCAGACATTCTGCCTTAAGACTGCATGATTGTCAGGAAATCCTTCCCTGTAATGATCTGAAATGTTGCTGTCTTCCTATAATTTTCCTCCCATTCATCCCATTTATGCCCCTCTGGGCCCTATAGAATAAATCTAGTGGCTGATGTGACAACCCCTCAGATACTAGATATTATATATCTTCTGAGTCACAACTTCGCAGCTAAGAATCTTAATTATTATTCTGTGTCCTGTGGCTTATGAGGTGTGAGTCCACTTCCCATGTCATAGAGTCACACTTCTGCCTTGATGAAGTCTGAGGTACGTGGC